ACTTTTTGTTTTTGTACCTCCCTGGCTGTTCTCAATGCAAAAGGTCAGATTTCCCTTAAATGTACTCCATAGCTTTCCTTATTTGTACAGAAAGAAGTGCACTCCTGCTCCTGAAGCTATCGCACGAATACCCTGTGTTGGGACATCACAGCCCTTCCCAGGTGAGGATCAAGGCACTGCAGAAGGCAATGTAGGGGTAGAAACTGGCGTGGGAGTGGGAGTGGGGCCAAAGCTGAGTAATGAAGTTTTCACTAACTAAAACTTAGAAAAATACTGAGTGATTTTTTTTTTTTTTTTTTTTTTTGAGACGGAGTCTCGCTCTGTTGCCCAGGCTGGAGTGCAGTGGCGCCATCTGGGCTCACTGCAAGCTCCGCCCCCTGGGTTCAGGCCGTTCTCCTGCCTCAGCCTCCTGAGTAGCTGGGACTACAGGCGCCCGCCACCACGCCCGGCTAATTTTTTGTATTTTTAGTAGAGACAGGGTTTCACTGTGTTAGCCAGGATGGTCTCGATCTCCTGACCTCGTGATCCACCCGCCTTGGCCTCCCAAAGTGCTGGGATTACAGGCGTGAGCCACCGCGCCTGTCCTTTTTTTTTGTTTTTAAGATGGAGTCTTGCTCTGTCCCCCAGGCTGGAGTGCAATCGCGCGATCTTGGCTCACTGCAACTTCTGCCTCCAGTGTTCAAATGATTCTGCTGCCCCAGCTTCCTGAGTAGCTGGGATTACAGGCACGGACCACCACACCTGGCTAATTTTTGTATTTTTAGTAGAGATGGGGTTTCACCATGATGGCCAGGCCGGTATCGAACTCCTGACCTCAGGTGATCCATCTGCCTCAGCCCTGCAAAGTGCTAGGATTACAGGTGTGAACCACCGCACCCAGCCATCAGTAATCTTTTTTCAAGAGTGATTGGCTATCCAGGAGTTGGAATAACAGGTGGATTTTTCTTTCTTTCTCACATATTTGTATATTACCATAATTGTTAACGACGATTTACTTTTATGATGAGCAAAAATAATTCCGGCAGGTCCCTTTGTACGTGAAAACGTATCAAAGTCAAACAATGTTGTAAGCTCCATTCTCAGAGCAGCACAGTCATTCCACAGTCTCTAATAAGTCCTCCCCTTTTGTCATCCCTAACAATGTATTTCCAGCATTCCATAATATCCTCTATGTAGGCGTTCTGTACACACAGGCTTTTTTCGTCACACATCATCTATGACTACCTAATATTTGACAAGCAAAACTGTGTCTCTTTCAGCATGCCCAGAGAAATCCTTCTTTGCCTTAATTTTATTACATGATAAGACCTCTCCTTTCTGCCACTTTTGTTGTGTCAGAAGTGTTGCCAAAAAAAGGGATCCTCATCCAGACTGCAAGAGAGGGTTATTGGATCTTGCATATAAAGGAATTCAAGGCAAATCGCAGAGTGCGGTGAGAAGAGATCGTTCATTGAAAGCTACTGTTTCAGCATAGAGTGTCTTCAGAAAGCAAGAGGAGGAACGCCTCTTCTAAGGTTTTTTTGTTTGTTTTGTTTGTTTTGTTTTGTTTTTTTGACGAAGTTTCGCTCTTGTCACCCAGGCTGGAGGGCAATGGCCACAGTCATGGCTCACTGCAACCTCCGCCTCTCAAGTTCAAGCGATTCTCCTGCCTCAGCCTCCGGAGTAGCTGAGATTCCAGGCGTGTGCCACCATGCCGGGCTAATTTTTGTATTTTTAGTAGAGAAGGGGTTTCACCGTGTTGGCCAGGCTGGTCTCAAACTACTGACCTCAAGTGATCTACTCGTCTGGGCCTCCCAAAGTGCTGGGATTACAGGCGTGAGCCACCGCACCTGGCCTAAGGTTTTCTTATATAGGGTTCTTATCCATGTAAAAGCTAAGCTGTGTCTACATGTGGGGGGCTGACAGCATGACATTTATTGTGTTGCTGATTTAAAGAAAACTAGCCTTGGCATTTTAGTGCATCAAAGCCTGACTATAACCATCATAAAAGCATACATTGTTATGTGATATGGGGACATCAGGACATTCTGCTGTCATAGGAGTTTGTCTTTGCAGGCATTGTGAAGCTGTTTCCTGAGCCGTAAACATCTTATGACCATGGGTCGTGACTGGCAAGGAACATATCTGCTAGTTTTCCTGGTTTGTTTGTTTCTTTGTTTGTTTTGAGACAGAGTCTCGCTCTTGTCACCCAGTCTGGAGTGCAATGGCATGATCTCAGCTCACTGCAAACTCTGCCTCCCAGGTTCAAGCGATTCTCCTGGCTCGACCTCCCAAGTAGCTGGGATTACAGGCACCCGCCACCACGCCTGGCTAACTTTTTGTATTTTTAGTAGAGACGGGGTTTCATCATGTTGACAGGCTGGTCTTGAACTCCTGACCTCAGGTGATCTGCCTGCCTCGGCCCTCCCCACTCCCAGGGGGTCCCTGGAACTCCCATCTGTCCCTCTGCCCTGTGACAATTTCACATATCCATGGCCAAGATTTGAAAACTATTGTTCTTAAGTCATTGCACAGACCCTGCTCTGGTGACATGGACAAACGTGAACTGATGGCTGCCAGCAGCACCACCATGCCATAGCTCCAAACTGGTCTGTGTTCATCACCTACCTTAGCACAATCTGGATTTGGTATACTAAAAGTGGGCAGAGTGTCACTAGGGAATGCCTAAGAGGTGGTCGCATAAGGAGAACTTGGCAAAGTAGATTACTGCACATGAAGGAGTTTTCTCTTCAAAAAATGGTGTATCAGAACCATCCCTGCTGGAAAAGCTCGGTGGTCGAGTCAAACCCTCTGCAATGTAGAAGGCCTGACTGACCCCAGGGTGAGAGATCAAATTTTAAATACTACGGGTAACCATTTTGAGACCCTGAAATATGAAACCCAGGAAAATGGGCCTCTGCTTGGATTTTGCTGCTGTTGTAGGGTTTTTGGTTTGGTTTTCCAGAAAGGGAAAGGTTGTCTAACCGATGTGCAGTTGCCTGAGGGGAACGGATGGGGCACTGAATGGATGGGCATTGAATGGGCATTGAATGGATGGGAAAAATGAATGATGTTCTTGAGGTCTCTGAACATCAGGGCTTCCAACAGGTCTGAAATGAAGTTCCTCACACACTGCACAGGGCTGGCCCTTCTGAGTCACCATACCACTTCCCTGGGGCTCAGGCAGGGCCTGGAGACTGGCCAGCTTTGGTTGGAACACAGGCTAGGATGGGAAAGGTGTTTCAAGGGTTGTTGTCTAAAGAGGACAGTGCTCTGCCTGGTCCCATCGCCTGCTCATTGGTTCACTCACGTGCACTGAGGCCTGCTCGGAATCCCACCTGGTGCCTGTGGTTCCAGCTCGGTGGCGCCCACCGAGCCATCCTACCGTGACTCACCTGCCTCTATCCCTCCCCTAGTGTCGTGACCGTCAGAAACAAACTCGGGTTAAATCCAAGGATCAAAACTTCCCTTTCCAACCCTTCTTCCCACCAAAGTTCCTCAGCAAGGAGGACAACGCTGTCAGTGGACCATTTCTGGGCCAAACCTTCATCATATCACAACTGGTGCCTCACTCCCACACTTAACCCCGTGCTGAATATTGCTGCTTTTTTATCCCTATCTGGCCCTCACGATCCTCCTATTAAGAGCCAGGGCTCTGGTCCAAGTTGTTATCCCCATCTTTATCATCCCTGCATCCTCAGTCCAGCCCCTCCTCTCCCCTAAGCATTCAGCAGGATATCAGTTGCCAAATGCAACTGAAGCCCATGGCCACTCTCCTCCCTGCGGTTCTCCCCTGCCTTCATTCCAAACCAGCCCCACAAATCCCACCTCAGGGAGAGTGCCTTTTGCAGCGAATACATGCCAGGCCCTGAGCTGTGTAATGCACGTGTTCTGATTGAATCCTGTGAGGCGGATAGCATGTGTTTTATAAAAGGGAAACAGGGGTTCGTGAAAGTTAAATAACTCAGCTAGTTAACAGCAGAATTGGAACTCGATGCTTCAATGGGCTAAGACAATAACTTCTTAACCACACACAGCATGCCTAACACTCTATAAGGAAGCAATGATTTCCCTTTCCCCTGCCCTGCCAGATCATAAAATCCCAGATTCATTTGACTCCACATTGTTTATATGAAAGATGGATCTGCAGCTACATACATTTGTTAGATTTCTGTTCTGATACCCTCATTTCCTAGAGCTTGTCAGAATGCCTGGGTCTTGATGGTAGGAATGAGGGAGGGGAGAGAGAAGAGGGTAACAGGGCAGGAGGGTCTTGTCTTATTCTCCATATACTTTGGTCTCAACGTAAGCGCAACCAAAAGCTGGACCAGAGCTGATTCCAATCCACTGTGACCCCAGTTTGCCCCAGAACTGGTCCAGAACACAAGTTTCCAGGAAAAAAACAGGAAAGTGTTTGCCTCACTTTAGACAAAGAAGGTAGAGGCTGGGCTGGGTGTGGTGACTCATGCCAGTAATCCCAACACTTTGGGAGACCAAGGCAGGAGGATCACTTGAGGCTAGGAGTTCAAGATCATCCTTGGCAACATAGCAAGACCCCATTGGTGTTAGGGAAGAAAAGGGAAGGGAGGGGAGGGGAGGGGAGGGGAGGGAAGGGAAGGGGAGGGAGGGAAGGGGAGGAGGGAGGGGGGGAGGAAGGAAGGAAGGAAGGAAGGAAGGAGAGAGGGAGGGAAGGAGGGAGGGAGGCAGAGAGAGAGAAAGGGGCTGGTAACACTTTTGATTCTCTCTGGAGCAACTTCAAACATGAAGTTAGCAAACATGCCAGCGATGTGGGAAAGTAAACTTGCTTCTATTTCCCTAAATTCTTGAGTCTCTAGACCATCTCAAGGAGCATCTGTGGAACCCAGGTGTGTCAGCCAACTGCCACACTATCCTCTGCCTCTCCAGGTCTCTTTCTGCTCCCCAAGGGTCAGAGCTCCTCTCACTCACCTCCTACTCTCTGCCCCTTCTCCACCAGGCCCCACTCAGGTTCCTGGCCGCAAAGAGCCAACCTCATGCCCAAAGACTGAAAAAGAAATGTTTTAATAAATACAAAACTCTCCAATAATGACTCTGCTCAGCTCAGGGGCAGCAGGAGTGGAGTGTCGGGGGCCCTTGGTGCTGAGTGAGGATAAATTAAAAATCCCAACAAGCTAGTGACATTATGTACAGAAGGAAAGGGGTGGGGCTTCCAGGACAGAGGCCGAGGGTGGCAGGGCAGGATTTGGAGTGGCTGTGACCTCCGTCTGGCCCAGCTGCCTCCCCCCCTTGTGGAGCTGTGGTTCCCAGAGGTAGCGGGGGTGGGAGTAGAGGCAGGACAGAGGAACAAAGGCACTGGGCTTCCCACAGGAGAATGCAAGAAGGTCCTCGATGCCACCCCTTGCCCAGCTCAGGCCCCATCCTCTTGGTCATGTGGCCCTCTGGCTGCTCTCTAAGAGCCTTCGGCTTCTTTCTCCAGCTCTGGATCAGTCCTGGTCTCTGGGGCTGCTGGAGACAGAAGGGAGGGAATGTTGGAGGAGGGGAGAGGGAGTGGAGAGGCACAGAGAGGCATGGAGGGCAGGGCAAAGCATCCCTGCCTTGGTCCCAGAAAGGCCAGCATTTTCTAAACAGGTCAGTGCACACAGCTGGGTGACCTTCATCTTGTTGCTTAATTCCTCTGAGCTTCTCATTTGTAAAGAAAAGGTCATAAATAACACTTCCACCAGGTTGCTGTGAGGGTGGATTGGAATGGCACTTGTGAGGCAGGCTGCACTGTTGCTGCACACACTGAATGCTCCGTTTCCTGATCAGAAGTCCCACGGGCAGGTCAGCCCTCCACTCACAGCTGCTGACCCTGGACTCCCTCACTTACGCCGCCGGCGGGCTGTGCAGCGGGAACAGCATCGACTCTCCTTCCCCAAGCTGCAGGACAGTGGCAGTGAACAGTCATCCCGCTCACAGTGAGGCACCCCTGCCTGGTACAAGACAGAGCAGACACTGAGGGTCCCCCACAGTGGCCTTCAGCTTCTTCAGGGACCTCCCTGGGAAGGCCTCCCTACTCCAGACCAGGCTCCCCACTTACCCCACATCTGCAGGTGATACAGCTCATCTCTCCAAAAGGGGGCACTGATGGGTGCCAGCTCTGACTCTCTGGGAACCACTGCCCAGCAAAACGGCAGCCCCGGGGCCCATCAGCCTGCATGGGGTCCCCCAGCTGGGGATGGGCCCCCAACCCCACTGTTGAGAGGGAAAGAGAAAGGGTCAGCCCAGGAGGACCAGCCTGGTTTTTTGAGTATTCTTTTTGAATCCCCAGCACCTAGCAGTTTCTGGCACTCAGTAGGTGATAAATTTGGATGGGTGGGTGGACAGATGAATGGACAGATGAAGGGATGGATGGATGGATGGATGGATGGATGGATGGATGGATGGATGGAGGAGGAACCAGAACCCATCATACCCCACTAGAATATCACATTCTTTCCACAGCATTTAGAGTCCTGGCTCCAGGTAAGGCACAGAGCAGTGCTCAGTAAATGCTCAATTAGCTGAGCACCCTTCCCCTCATCCAGGACTAGGCCTGCTTCAACCCAAAGGTGAGGCCTCAGTGCCCAGCCACCTCTCTCACCTGGACACTGTTTGCAGCAGTCGGTGGGGTTGACACGGACAGGCTGGGCACAAGCCAGCCGGGGACACTGCACCTTCTCACAGTGCACCTCTCCAGTGCCCCCCTGTAGGGAATCCATTAAGCAAGGAGTGTCAGGCAGGGGGCACATAAACCTCCTGCCCGCTCCCTCTCCTATTCCACACCTCAGATGCAGTCTCTCTGTGGCCTTTTACTCAGAGGCCCGGGCTTGCTTTATAGACCTAAACTCAGCTTCTCATCGGAACCCTGCAAGGTAGTTGCCATCATATCTGCTTACAGGAGAGGAAAGTGAGGCTCAGGGACAGAAGGTGCCTAGGGTCATCGGCACTAGTTAGCTGGCAGAGCCAGAATCCACACCCAGGTCAGCCCTGTTCCTTTTCCCACAGGAAGCCAACTCTCAGAGCGCAACTCTCAGAGCCAATTTCTCATATCGGTTTGATCCTTTAGCTCTCCTCAGCAAGGACGGGCCTTCCTCACCTGGCAGCCCCTCCCCATCTCTGCAGACCCCGCTGGGTTATGGCACCAGAGAAGATTGGGTGGCCATACCTTGCAGGTGCAGACAGCACACTTAATTAAGCCAAAGGGGGGCACAACGGGGTGCCACCGCGTACCCGCTGCCCGCCAGCTCCGGTCACCATCAAAATAGCAGCCTGGTGGGGAACAGGGCCCAGCGGCCGTTAGTATGAGCTCATCAGCTGGGCCCACAACCAAGCCTTGAGCCTCAGGCCACCCCCACATGAGCCTAAGACAAGGGCCCATTTGGGGGCCAGTAACACTAATGAGTTCTGTCAGGCATTGCTTGGAATCTGTGCCCCTCAGGCCACCCCCTATATACTCTCCCCTTCTTGTCCCCCTCCTGGTTCAACCTAATGGCTCCTCTGGGGCCTTCCACCCTGCACGCACCCTTCCAGCTCACCCTCTCCTGGGTCCCGGCTCCTCGGCAGCCCTGGCAGGTCTCTGACATCTTGTTTCTCTGTGGAGCCAAAGAAATGGTGAAAGCAGGCCGGGCGCGGTGGCTCAAGCCTGTAATCCCAGCACTTTGGGAGGCCGAGACGGGCGGATCACGAGGTCAGGAGATCGAAACCATCCTGGCTAACACGGTGAAACCCCGTCTCTATTAAGAAATACAAAAAACTAGCCGGGCGAGGTGGCGGGCGCCTGTAGTCCCAGCTACTCGGGAGGCTGAGGCCGGAGAATGGCGTGAACCCGGGAGGCGGAGCTTGCAGTGAGCTGAGATCCGGCCACTGCACTCCAGCCTGGGCGACAGAGTGAGACTCCGTTTCAAAAAAAAAAAAAAAAAAGAAATGGTGAAAGCAGAGGGTGACCGACCTCCTTCCCTCCCCAAAGGACCGGTCCACACTAGGCCAACTCCTCCCTCCACTCCCCTGCAGGGAACTCACCAGGGCAAACAGGGCAGCACTGATCGGGAGCCTGCACTGGGTGTGGGCAGCTGGGTGGTGGGCACACCACCGGGTCACAGATCACCGTTCGTCTCTGCAGAGAGGGACAGAGGCATTGACAGGAGAGTCCAGGCCCCTTGCCCCAGATCCCAGGACACAATGTGCCCTTCCAGGACCTCCTACCTGGCAGGTGCAGAGTGAGCAGAGCGGGTCGTAGTTGGGTGCCCAGCGAGCCCCGTGGGGGCGCTGCTGCCCCTCGAAGAAGCATGTGTTGGGGTCTCGGGGCCTCCCAGGACCACCAGGTTTGGCAGGCGCTAGGGCCGGGGGACCAGGCACCACAGGTGGCGCAGCAGCGGCTGTATCCGGAGCCCCCGGCTCCCGCACCCCCTCGACCCCGGCCGCCCCCAGGCGCAGTCCGCCCACCTCACATTGGTTGGCGATGTGCACCTGGGAGGAGAGGCCAATTGAGGTGGCGCTGGGGCTCCCCCTCGCGTCTTTACCAGCGGCAGCTGGCCCGCCAACAGCAGACACCTCGGCACCCTGAGCGCTGCGGTGGCCCAGGAGGATGCTGTTCGCTCCCACAATCATTCCAGCTGCCAGGAATAGGGTGCTGGGCTGCCAGCCTCCTCATGTAGCTTGTGTGTCTTCATCCTCCCCACCAGCCGGGAGGTGTGATATGACCACCCCCCAGGACTCAGAGACAGCAAGTGACTAGTACAAGGGCACATAGTGCCCCCCCAACTCTGCACCCTCCCCACTGCCCCCACTGTCCACACTACCCACCTACCTGCCCTCGGAGCTCCCCTCTGGGGCTACCCTTGGTGGCGATCAGCAGGGAGGCCATGCCTTTTGCCAGGTGCCGCAGCAGCTCCGGCTCCAGGTCCTTCACCACGCCCTGGGCCTGCACAGAGACAGGATAATGGATGGGAATAGGCCAGGCGTGGTGGCTCAAGCCTGTAATCCCAGCACTTTGGGAGGCCGAGGCGGGTGGATCACGAGGTCAGGAGATCGAGACCATCCCTGGCTAACACGGTGAAACCCCGTCTCTACTAAAAATACAAAAAACTAGCCGGGCGTGGTGGCGGGCGCCTGTAGTCCCAGCTACTCGGAGGCTGAGGCAGGAGAATGGCGTGAACCCAGGAGGCGGAGCTTGCAGTGAGCCGAGATCGCGCCACTGCACCCCAGCCTGGGCGACACAGTGAGACTCCGTCTCAAAAAAAAAAAAAAAAAAAAAAAAAAAAGGATGGGAATAAGGCACTTTAGGGCTGAGCCTACTTCCCCAAGTCACAGATGAAGAAACTGAGAGCCAGGGAGGCTAAATAAAGTCTTCAGGGTAGCAAAACCCATTGGCAATAGTGTGGAGCTTGGAAGCCAGGTCTCTCGGACTCCAAGTCCATGAGAACTCACCCCACTTGAAGGGCTTAGTCCATCCCACCTACCCTGCTGAGGTCCAGGATATTACATACTATCCAAGATACCCCACCAAAGAAAGACAGAGAAAAGAGAATGAATAATAAAAAGCTGAGTCAGAGTCATGCCCAGGTCTATCTGACTCCCAAGCCCATGCCAGCCTTTTTTTTTTTTTTTTTTTTTTTGAGACGGAGTTTTGCTCTTGTTGTCCAGGCTGGAGTGCAATGGCGCGATCTCGGCTCACTGCAACCTCCGCCTCCTGGGTTCAAGTGATTCTCCTGCCTCAGCCTCCGGAGTAGCTGGGATTACAGGCATGCACCACCACGCCTGGCTACTTTTGTATTTTTAGTAGAGATGGGGTTTCTCCATGTTGGCCAGGCTAGTCTTGAGCTTCCTACCTCAGGTGACCCACCTGCCTGGCCTCCCAAAGTGTTGGGATTACAGGCATAAGCCACTGCACCCAGCCTACAAATCACTGTTTAATTTATTTTATTTACGCCAGCTCTTCTATACCAGGCTGCCTGCTCTCTGCTTCCCCCACCATAGGCCCACACAGCCCTTCAAGCTAAAACGCAGAAATGTTCCAAGCAGCCGCCTACCATCACATCCTTACCTCTGGGCCATAGAATCCCTTCAGCAGCCGCCGAGGCCCTGGCGTTCCAGGAGGCCCAAGAAGGTGGGCAGTGACAGTGCCTTGTTCTGAGCCACCAAGCCCAGCCAGCAGCACTTCATAGTGCAGGTGACAGTGGGTATCCAGGGAGAGCCAGGCATGCCCTGCTGCCTGGCTCTTCACAGGGGGTAGCACCAGGGCTCCTGCTAGGGGCACAGGCAGCCCTGGGTCCAGACAGAGGAGAGATGACAGGTGAGAAGGTGGCCTACGGCAAGCCCTCAAACCCAGCATTCCCCAGCTCCCCAGCACACATTCCAGGAGCTGTTAGACACTGTCCATAGGTCCAGGGCCTGGAGAGCAGCAAGTTTTAGACCCTTGCACCTCGGCAACAGGAAGAGTCTGCCAGCAGGGCCACCCTATATGTCCCCACCTTCAGATGGCAACCGGAAACGCATCTGAAGAAAGACACACCAGGCTCTGGCTGTCTGCCACCATCCCTCAAATGTTCTAGGAAACCAAGGGGCCGATAGACCCCTAAGGACACTCACTGTCATGGCGGGCGCTATGCCCACTGTAGGGCAAGGCAGCCACGTGCCCCCGAAGCTCTCCATCTGGGAAGTCCTTGGTGCCCACGTTCAAAAAGAGCTCGTTCTGCAGCAGCATATGAGCCCCTCGGGCACCCAGCCCAGGGCAGATACCCACGGCCTGGGGGGACAGGGGAGGACAGGCCTTCCTCAGCTCTCACACGAGCCCAAGGTTCTGAAACCTTGGGTCATTTTGTGCCCCCACTCCACCCACACACACTTCCACACACCAGAAACACAGGATAAGGACCTGACAGGCCCAGTTTCATGGCCCTCCCCTGCTACTTCCTAGCTATGTAACCACCTTGAAGAGTTACTTAATTTCTCCAAGCCTTCACTTCCTCATCTATAAAATGCGTACTGTGAAAGTCAAAAAATATGTAAGGCCACCAATTCAGCACCTAGCACATAGAAAGGCCCTATAAGTAGCAACCATTGCCATTACAATTACTACTATGTGGCCTATGACACTGTTCTCCAGGTCCAGTGCCTCCCATTTGACTGTGAGCTTGCTGAGCACAGGGGCTACATCTGATTTGCTTTGTACTCTAGTCCCTAGTCTGGGGCTCACTAAAAATGTCAAATCAGGCCGGGCGCAGTGGCGCCTGTAATCCCAGCACTTTGGGAGGCCGAGGTGGGTAGATCACAAGGTCAAGAGATCGAGACCATCCTGGCCAACATGGTGAAACTCCATCTCTACTAAAAATACAGAAATTAGCTGGGCATGGTGGCGCATGCCTGTGGTCCCAGCTACTCGGGAAGCTAAGGCAAGAGAATCATTTGAACCCGGGAGGCAGAGGTTGCAGTGAGCCGAGATCACGCCACTGCACTCCAGCCCAGGTGACAGAGCAAGACTCCATCTCAAAAAAAAAAAAAAAAAGTCAAATGAATAAAAGAATGAGTGGGAGAATCCATGAGTGAGTGGATGATAATGAACATCCCTGCTCATCCAACCTGGCTTCCCACAGCCCATGCACTGGGCCCTGGGGTAAAGCAACCTGGAGCCCTCACCATGTGTCCTCCTGGCTGGAGTCCAGCCATGTGGCACAAGACAGTGCGCTGATCCCTCCGCTGAGGCTTGGTCTCCAGTGTCATGGCCACCACCTCACTGCTTGTCCCTACCACTTGCACCTGATGGGCAGGGATGAAGGAGGGCAAAGTGGAGGGGCAGTAAAGGCCTGGGCCTGCTGCCCACCCCTCCTCTCCCCTACCTTCTGCAGCCCCTGGCTCTTACCTGATAGATCAGGGAGCCATTTCCTAGCAGCGTGAGGCTGGCCGAGCCAGCAGCACCCGTCTGGACTGGGATCAGGACATCAGCCCCACAAAGGACACTTTGCAGGACTATGGAGGGGCAAGACAGGTGAGGCTAGGCTTACCCATGGCCACTTACACCCCCAGTCCTCAGGATCTCTCCCATACCCACCCTGGCCCCTTCCCTGGCACGTGTCTGTGCCTCTCAGTTGTGCACACCCAGGGCACCAGGCCCTCCCCGCCCTGCCTCACCGTCGCAGCTCTTCCTGGTAGCAATGTGTCCACTGATGCGCAGCCCTGGCCTGCCTGCCCTCTCCAGGGCCATCTGTAGCTCCCCTAGCACCAGCCAGTCCATCTCCTGGACTGTCAGGTTGGGCAGCACCTCAGCAAAGCCTGGTTCCTGGGGACAGAGCAGGGTGTGATGGGCAATAGCAAGAGGCCAAGACAGGTGGCAGCAAGAGCCAGATCCCCGCTCACCTGGGCTGAGACATTGGCCTGAAGTTCTCGCAGTAGCTGCCCCTGGTGTAGAATCTGGAGCCTCAAGGGAACCTGGGTTAGTCCTGCAAGGCCGCACATGTGGGCCTTTCTGAGACAGGTGCTCTCCCTAACCTTCTCACGTATTTTGCCCCCATCCCACTTACCCCCACTCCTGGGTTCCAGCAGCCCTCGGAAGAGCAGCAAAAAATGCAAGGAGTCCTCTGTGTCACTGAGAGTGAGCAGGGTGATGCCCCCTATGCCCTGCTCTGGGGAGCCTTCTAGAGTCAGGATGGCACTGAAAGTCTCTGGGGAAGGGAGGATGATGAGAGCCCGTCAGAACGCCCCCTCCCCTTTCCTGGGGATAGAGAAAACTCAGAACTTCATGCCCAGGGCTCTTTGCTCCCTACCTGCAGCCAGGGCCCGGTGCCGGATGAGAGGCCCCCAGACCTCTCCTGAAGGGTGAGTGAGTGTCACAAGTGCCACATGCAGCTGTTCTGCCCTAAGGAGCCGCAGAGACAACCGAGGCACTGCCCGCCACACCCCACAGACCTGGAGCAGAGAGACAAGAAGGCCCTACGCTCAGACACTGTGCAGGTTAGGCCAATTAGGAGGTCCAGGCAGGCCTCATGAAAAAGGAACATGGAAAGGAACCTCCAGGGTGCCCTAGGAAGCTTAAGAAAGAACCCTGGAGCCAGATGCTTGGGTTCCAGTCCTGGCTGCACCACTTACTAGCTGTGTGACCTTGAACAAATCACATTCTCCTACTGAGCCTCAGTTCCCCCTTCTGTAAAATGGTCATCATAATGTCAGTGCCTTCCTCCCACTGGGCTGTGGTGAGGACCACTGGAGGCAATGCAGAGCATGCTCTCAGCACAGTGCCCAGACTGGACAAGTGCTCATAAATGACATCATCTCACCAGGCCATCTTGGGTGGGGGCTGCAGCGTGTTCAAACAGGACACTGCCATTGGAGTCTGAGAAGCGGACTCTGGTAGGGCGGTCCAGCCTGGGAATGAGAGGTCGGGTGAGGCCAGACTGGGCCAAAAGCAGCCCCTCCCAGCTCTCCCAGTTTCCCTCCTGGCCAGCAGCTGACCCCTCCTTGCTCCTTCCCCTTTCTCACCGCCTGTAGGAGATGGAGAAGCGGAGGCTAGAGCGCAGCAGCGAGACTCGGGCTCGTGCCACCGCCTGCGACCTCGGCCCTGTCAGCAGCGCCACGAAGTCTGGGACGGGAGGAAGATGGCCTGAGCACTGTCAAACGCTGCTTTGGTGGCCCAGCCTCAACCACAACCCCGCTGTTCGCCAGCCCCCTACCCGTGTGGCCATCACCACGGGCCCGCTCCTCAGCGCCTGGCTCCCCGCGGTCGCTATAACTGCGATGCTCCGGGTCCCGCGGATACTCGAAGGACAGGCCGCTCGGCTGCCGCTCCGAACTGCTACGCTCTGCAGGGGGCGGGGTAAGAACACGGGCTTCAGCTGGCCGTGGGAAGGGCCAGTCCGAAGCCCCATCCAAGTGGCCCAGGACCCAGTACCTTGGCCCTGCCTCCCTCCCCGCAGGGCGGAGCAAGCCTTACCCTGGGGGCAGGTCTGGCAGCAGTGTCCTGGCAGCTGGCGCGGCTGCCCACAGGCCAAGGTTGGGCACTCTGGTTTGATGTTCTTGCAGGTGACCCTGCCAGGGCCCCTGGTACGGCGACCCCACTGAAGCTGCTCCCGGAAAAGGCGGGAAACCCAAGTGAGCGCAAGAAGCCAACTGATGAGACCCCCAGGCGAGGATGTCCCGCAGAGTCAGCCAGCTCTGCCACTTACAATCTGCGTGACCCTAGACAAGCTACTTCGTCTCTCTGGGCCTCAAGGTCCCTGTCTGGAAAATGGGGATAATAATACTCTCGCTATCTAGCAAGGCTGCCATGGGAGTTAGGTGAGCTGGGAACGAAACGGAGTTGGCACAGAGCCTCACACAGAGTGGGCGATCAGTAACAGCACCTAAGACTTGAAGGGGCTGATTCCCCTTCCTCCACCAGAAAAGCATCCCCAACATCTGCCGACTGGGCTCCTTCTCAGCACTTCGACGTCCGCGCGACTCGCGCTCCCCACCAGTCAGGGCCCGGGCCGGCCGCGGGGCTCACTCACCGCCTCGCAGGCGCACAGCACGCAGCGCATCACCCCGAAGGGCTCCCCCAGGTCCGGGTGCCACGTCTCGTCCAAGGCATAGACCTTCCCGCCGAAGGAGCAGCCTGCGGGGACGGGCTTGGCTGGAGGCCGCTGCCCAGCTCGCGCCGTGTGCCGCCCCCGGGGCTGCCCGCGGGTCCCGGGTCCCGGGCACCGCGCCCTTCAGCCCCCGCCCACCCTCCGGGCGGCCCGCCGCGCCGAGCCACCTGCGCCCCGCGCCCCCTCCGGACTGGCGCTGACTCGCCCCGAGCCCGTATCTCCGCCCGCGCCTCCCCCGGGCGCCCACCTACCTGCTGCTCCCCGAACGGGCAGCGGCTCCTTCTCGGAACGGATGGGCAGCGCGGGGGGCTCAGGGCCGGCGCCGCGGGCCGGCCGGGAGCCGAGCAGCAGCAGCCCGAGAAGCAGCAGCGGGGACGGCGGGGCCGGGAGGCTCGGCATGACGCGAACGGGACAGCTGGGGAGGCGGGAGGGAGGAGGGCGCGGGAGCGGGCGGAGGGAGGGAGGCGGGAGTGCGGAGGGCGGAGGGCCGGGCCGGGGGCGGTGCGGCGGGAGGGGGCCGGGGCCGGGGCCGGGGCCGGGGCCGGGGCAGTGCAGTAAGGGGCTCGTCGGGCGGCCGCAGAGTCGGCGCCGGGCCGGGCGGGGCGGGAGGAGCGGCCGGGAGGAGCGCGGGCAGTCGGGCGCTGACCCGGGCCGTACGCGGCTCTACTGCCCCGGGCGCCGGCTCCGGCCCGTTTTATGCCCCGCGCCCGACGCCCCGGCCGGGGGCCTCCTCCTCAGCAAACGGGGCGGCGGCGGCAGCTCGGCGAGGGGCCGGGCTGAGCCCGGGGGGTCCGGCCCAGCAGCAGCGGCCCGGATCGCGGGTGGGGGAGGGGAGGGAGGGCCTGGGACCGGGCAGGGGAGGAGGGAAGAGCGGGAGGAGGAAGGGGAGCGGGGGAGGGGGAGGGGAGGGACCAGGGGGCGCGAAGAGGGGGAGGAGAGGCGGGCCCGGAGCCCCCCGCTGCTGGCGGCCACAGGGCGGCTGGACCAGGAGGTCGGTGTCCAGCCCAGGAGGGGAGCCTCAGGCCAGGGAGGGGCAGAGGCTAGGCCTGAGGCCTGGACCGCTCAGTGAGCAGGACCCGGTTCCGCCCGAAGGATGAAGACTTGTCTTAAAAGATGACAACGTACAGGAAAGGCCCATCAGCCGATCTCCCCCGGCCCACAGCGCCCCTCAAACCCTCACCACCCTCTCTCACTGCCTAGCCTGCCTCCCTACCTCCTCTCTGAGGTCGCTCCTCATTCTTGTGTTACCCAGGACACGGACCTAGCCAGAAAGCGGCAGCATTCCCCTTTCTGTGGAATGACAGTGTCTCTCTCTCATTGTAACTTATCCTCAGGCCCATTCGACCATCCCCTCTTGCTTCCTCACCCCCTTCCTTCACCCAAGGGACCCTCTGCCTCTCCAACCCACTCCCAGCCTCCTTTCTCTTAGTTCCAGTGGTCATGCCTGCCTCCCTGTCTCTCCCACCCACACACACCCACTATCCTCCCAGCTATCCCAGCACCCTCCTTCCTAATCTTGGGAGACATCTCGTCTGGCTGGTGGGGAAAATTCCAGGATCTAGGCCACACTTCTCAGCAGACATGCCCATCCTTGGGGAGGAGGAACAGGAGAGAGTCTGAGGAAGTTCTAGGGGACAGGGGGATGATGGGAACAAGGTCAGGCTGGGACGCCCCTGAGGACAGAGACTGTGGGGAGACTGGGACTAGGAAGAAAGCAAAGGAGCTAGAGCCAGGGCCAAAGGAAAAGGGGGGCCAGCAGGGAGGTATTTGCGGGGGAGGTCCAGCAGCTGTCTTTCCTAAGACAGGGACACATGGGCCTGGTTATTCCTCTTGTCACATGTGGAACGGTAGGAGATGGAAGAGGGAGACAGAACAAGCAAAGGAGGGCCCCATGCACAGAGAGCTGTGTGTGTAGCCCTCCAAGTCACTAGACCCCAGCAGACCAGCACCTAAGCCCAGGCTTAACCCGGTTCATGCCTGCGCACATATATGCGCCCCGCACCTGACAGTCCTCTCAACCAGTCTAAACCCTTTCCCCATAACACCAGCCCATAACAGGAGATTTCTCTCATGTGGGCAATATCCGTATTCCCACTTCGAAAAGGGGTATAACAAGACAAGACCCCCTAGGGGGTTATAGAAAGAAAAACAGGAAAGCAAGTGTCCTGTTGGATTTCAGCAGCAGGTGTGATGTCCAGGGAAAAGAAATTTGGATAACCAGGAAGTGAAAACCTCACCAATCTAAAACAAGACTTCTGGGCTTCTTCCCCACTGACACAAATGTCCTGCCAGATTCCTCCTGGAAAAAAACCTCTGCTCCTGTCCCCCTCCAGGTCCCAGGTTGCCCATGTCCAGGAAAAGATGAATCTCCCTATCCAAGTCTTCTCCATGGTGTGTGTGGGTGGAGGAGTGGACCCTGGTCCAGGCAGGGGCTCCAGGGAAGAGAAGGCGTCACTTCCGGGGGCCTTCGCCAGTGTCTGGTGGTTCCCTCCTCTGATTGGGCAGAAGTGGCCCAGGCAGGCGTGTGACCTGCTGCTGTGGAGGGGCTGTGCCCCACCGCCACATGTCTTCCTACCCATCTGCTCCCCAGAGGGCTGCCTGCTGTGCACTTGGGTCCTGGAGCCCTTCTCCACCCGGTGAGTGGCCAGCAGGGTGTGGGGTTATGTGAGGGTATAAAGGACAGCAAAGAGAAATGGTCTCCCAGCTGGGGGAGGGGCAGGCAAACTGGAACCTACAGGCACTGACCTTTGTCGAGAAGAGTGTAGCCTTCCCAGAATGGGAGGAGCAGGGCAGAGCAGGGGTAGGGGGTGGGGTGCTGGTTTCTGAGGGACTGATCACTTACTTGGTGGAATACAGCACAGCCCTGACTGGCCCTAAGGAAAGGGGACATGAGCCCAGGGAGAAAATAAGAGAGGGAGTTGCACTTCGGGCTTAGTGAACACAGTACTAAGATGGACACATCCCCAATCCCCATTTTTAGCTGGTCATTCCTTGTTAGCTTAAGGTTCTGAATCTGGCGCTAGGGAAGCTGGGCTAGGCAAGCCAGGGCACAAGGAGAGGGTAATGGGAGGAGGGCCCATGCATGTTGACAGACCTACAGGAAATCCCAATATTGAATCAGGTGCAAGCCTCTTTGCACAACTTGTGAAAGGAGGAGGAAGCCATGTGGGGGGTCCTGTGAAGGAACCGGAAGGGGTTCTGCCAAGGGGGCAGGGAGGCAGGTGTGAGCTATGAGACAGATATGTTAGTGGGCGACAAAGGCAAGGTAAGCCCCTAAGGTGGGCATCACCCAGCAGGTGCCCCTTCCTGGGTAGCTGGTCTCAGGAAGGAAGTCCCAGGACTGTCAGCCCATCTCTTAACCTCAGATAATGGAGTATTTCAGGACTTGGAGTCCAAAGAAAAGCTCCAGAGGTTTTTATGTGTGGGGGTACATAGGGAAAGAATAGAGGTTAATTTCTCCCATACTGCCCCTTAATCCTGACCTCTAAGTGGTCCCAGTTACAGCTTTGTGCAGTTTCCCACCCCAGCCCCACTCCCCACTGCAAAAGTTACCCCTCAACATATAGTGCATGTTTGCCAATTCCTCACCCGGGCCCTGCATCCCATTTTCCACTCTCTTCTCCAGGCTGAAGCCACAATACTTTCCTTCTCTATCCCTATCCCAGATTTTCTCTGACCTAACAACCAAGGTTGCTCAGAATTTAAGGCCAATTAAGATATGTATGTATACATACCATGTCCTGCTGTTCTCAGCAGGGGTAGGCGGCAACAAATCCATGTCAGATTCACTGAGGAGGCCTGACAAAAAGGAGACACCATATGCTTTCTTTTTTTCTTTTCTTTTTTTTTTTTTTTTTTTTGAGACGGAGTTTCGCTTTTATTGCCCAGGCTGGAGTGCAATGGCGGGATCTCAGCTCACGGCAACCTCCACCCCCCAGGTACAAGCGATTCTCCTGTCTCAGCCTCCCAAGTAGCTCGGATTACAGGCATATGCCACCATGCCCTGCTAATTTTTTTGTATTTAGTAGAGACGGGGTTTCACCATGTTAGTCAGGCTGGTCGCGAACTCCTGACCTTGGACTCCCAAAGTGCTGGGATTACAGGCGTGAGCCACTGCACCCGGCACACCATATGCTTTCATCACAAGAAAATGTGAGAGAAGTCAGGCCTTTGGCAATTCCAGGCTGGTCAGCATCTCAAGCCCTCCCCAGCATCTGTTCACCCTGCCAGGCAGTCTCTTCCTAGAAACTCAGTTAAATGTTCACTCTTCTTGCCACTTTCAGGATAGATTCCTCATCCTTGGCCCGCCTTTGACCCACCCTACTCTGCCCAGAAGTGCAAGAGCCCAAGCCGCCTCCATGGCCCCAGGAAGGATTCAGGGGAGAGGCCCCAAACAGGGAGCCACGCCAGCCAGACACCCCGGCCAGAATGGAGCTGACTGGTGAGAACACTCTTGAGGGGCTAGGGCCAGATGGAAACATGACAGAAAGGGAGAGAGAAAGGAGACACACTGCAGGGGCAGGGAGCTGGGGGAACCCATTCTCTCAAAAATAAGGGGTCTGAGGGGTGGATTCCCTGGATTTCGGGTCTGGGTCCTGAATGGGAATTCCTGGAATACCAGCTGACAATGATTTCCTCCTCATCTTTCAACCTCACCTCTCCTCATCTAAGAATTGCTCCTCGTGGTCATGCTTCTCCTAACTGCAAGGCTAACTCTGTCCAGCCCGGCTCCTCCTGCCTGTGACCCCCGAGTCCTCAGTAAACTGCTTCGTGACTCCCGTGTCCTTCACAGCAGACTGGTGAGAACTCCCAACATTATCCCCTTTATCTGCGTTAACTGGTAAGAGACCCATACTCCCGGGAAGACACCACTTCCTCTAACTCCTTGAGCCAATGACTATTCTTCCCATATTGTCACCACCTACTGATCACACTCCCTGACAAGGATTAATCTTTGCAATACAGCCATCATTTAAAAGCTCCCGTCTAGACGTAGTACTCATGGAGGACTACCCTTCTCACTAGGCTACCATAGCCCTCTCTATTTCAGCTCCCTTCTCCCCCCAACAATCTTTTTCAACAGAGCCTGTGCCCAGAGGTTAACCCTTTACCCACACCTGTCCTGCTGCCTGCTGTGGACTTTAGCTTGGGAGAATGGAAAACCCAGATGGTAAGAAAGCCGTTCCTAACCTTGGCTTCCCTAAGTCCTGTCTTCAGTTTCCTACTGCTTCCCATGGATTCTCCAACATTCTTGAGCTTTTTAAAAATATCTCACCTTCAGCTTGGCCACCCTAACCCAATCTACATTCACCTATAATGATAGCCTGTGGATAAGATGATGGCTTGCAGGTCCAATATGTGAATAGATTTGAAGCTGAACACTATGAAAAGCTGGAGAGAAATCACTCATGGCCATGCCTTTGACCTATTCCCACTCAATCTTCTTAAATTGGCATGAAGAAGTAAGACTCATATGTCATCCACAGATGACACAAAGCT